CAAAAAAAAAAAAAAAAAAAAAAAAATAGTGAAATGATGTAAAATGTTTATAGATTCTTTGAAAGCTGTAAAGTACTATATAAATAAAAGGTATTACTAAATAAAAGTAATAAAATGGGGGGTGGCTATTGCTATAAGGGAGAAGGGAACACTGGTTGACTACTGATCTATTAAGTTGTAATACGAAAGTTTATTGAGATGTAGTTGAGAACTCTGTAATATGTTTCTTTATTAAATATTTGATCAAATGACAGTTTTGAAAAGGTTCAAATATAAAATTATTCTTAATGTGCATTTTTATTATTAAAGGTATTTGTAAAAATTGTCATTTGAAAGTTTAGGTATATGCTTATTTGGAGAATACTGATTTTGTTTGTTTGTTTGTTTTACCTTTCAGCACATTTGTGTGTCCAACTGAAATTATCGCTTTTGGTGATAGACTTGAAGAATTCAGATCTATAAATACTGAAGTGGTAGCATGCTCTGTTGATTCACAGTTTACCCATTTGGCCTGGTCAGTATCTTACACTTACATTTGTAGAAAAAAAGAATGGATTTACTCTTAAAGCATGGGCAGATAAATCTTGATATGATACAATAAGAATATAGTCATTTATCAGGCAATTCAGGAATAGATTTATCTAAGAGTAATACATGCCTTTACACATTTTCCGGGTTAAAAAAAGAGAGAAGAGTAATATAATCAGCTGCAATAGTAAAAATGCTTAAGGATTTTATAGGACATTTCAAAATTAGGGGAAAAGTTAAATGCAGTAGATGTGATTTCTATAACGAAAACCACTGAATTATATGATTACTTTATTATGATAAATTGGGTTACCATAATCTGAAGGAAAAAAAATCTTTAAAATATGCCATTTCTCTGTTACAGTTGTATAGTCAAACTCAGCTTTTACAATTTTCAAGAAACAATAATTTTTTAAAATTAATTTAAAAAAATTTTTTTAAATTCATTCATCATAAAAAGATGTTCTACCTAAATTCATTGTAAAGAATTGCAAAATAAAATGACAAGAGATGCCAATTTTCCCTGTCTGTTTGGCCAAGATTTAAAAAGATTGAAAAAATTTATCCACTGTGGACAAAAATTGAAGAAATGGCACTCACACACAGCTACTTAGCATTTCTGGAGAGCCATTGGGCAACATGTCTCAAAATTGGAAATTTACATGTTAATACGAGTTTTTAATAGTGTCCACAGTCTTGTGCAGAAAACTTTGTGCACAATAAAGACCATTCAGAATTAGGCCAGGCACAGTGGCTCACGCCTGTAATCCCAGCACTTTGGGAGGCCGAGGCAGGCGGATCACCTGAGGTGGGGAGTTCGAGACCAGCCTGACCAACATGGAGAAACCCCATGTCTACTAAAAATACAAAATTAGCCAGGCATGGTAGCAGGTGCCTGTAATCCCAGATACCCAGGAGGCTGAGGCAGGAGAATCACTTGAACCCAGGAGGTGAAGGTTGCAGTGAGCTGAGGTTGCACCATTGCACTCCAGCCTGGGCAACAAGAGTGAAACACCATCTCAAAAACAAAACAAACAAAAGATTCAGAATTATTTTGGTTTTAAAACATAATATTCAGTTTATTAAAGTTACAAATTTAAAACACGAGCTTTTTTTCATTTATAATCTGTGTGTGTGTATAACAAATTTTCATTGCTTGGGGAGCTACAATTTAATTAATTACGTTTCCCTAAGAAATTAATTCCCATAAGTATTTTTAAATGCAGTTATATGTTTAATATATTTGAATTCCTTAAGTATCTCAATTTTTAGACAAACCTTCCCAAATACTTACGTAGTTCTAATGTGCCAAATTATCTTAAACATTATAAGTAACTTAATATATAAATATGTACTGATTATTTCTTAATATAATATAAAAATATTAAAATAGCCTGGCATGGTGGCTCACACCTATAATCCCAGCACTTTGGGAGGTCAAAGCAGGAGAATCACTTCAACCCAGGAGTTCAAGACCAGCCTGGGCAACATAGTGAGACCCTATCTATACAAAAAATTAAAAAAATTAGCCAGGTCTGGTGGCGTGTGCCTGTGGTCCCAGCTACTCGGGAGCCTGAGATGGAAGGATCACTTGAGCCTAGGTGGTCGAGGCTGTAGTGAGCCAAGATCATACCATTGCACTCCAGCCTGGACAACAGAGTGAGATCCTGTCTCAAAAAAAAAAAAATTAGAATATAGGCTTAATTTGCTTTATCATTTCCTTTAAAAAAAAGAAAGACAGGGTCTTACTGTGTTGCCCAGGCTGGAGTGCAGTGGCACAATCAGTCATAGCTCCCTGCAGCCTTGAACTCATGGGCTCCAACAGTCCTTCTATCTCCCCAAATAATTGGGACTGCAAGCTTGCACCACCATGCCTATTTTAATTTTTATTTTTGTAGAGATGGAGTCTTGCCATGTTGCCTGGGCTGTGCTTCATCACTTCTGTAGTAATTCTAAATCTTCTGAGGATTAAAATGCATATCCACTAAGGAAAAAGTTATGTCATCCCAAATAATTTGGGATTGCTTTCCCAAGGAAATTTGGGGATACATTCTCAGCTGGATAGGTTTCACATCAACCAGAGATTTCTACTTGGGTGTCAGAACTGGGCTCCAGATACCTGGAGCAATGTCGTTTTGTTTTCTGTCTGCTGTGTCAGTACCCTCCTGTTACAGCATCAGCCCATGTCTCCTGGTTTCAAGTTACAGAATACCCATTGAGCATCCCTAATCTGAAATCCACAGTGTTCCAAAATTCAGAATTTTTTGAGTGCTGACATGATGCTCAAAGGAAATGCTCAGTGAAGCATTTCAGAGTTCAGATTAGGGATGTTCAACCAGTAAGTATGCAGATATACCAAAATCAGAAAAAATCTTAATCCAAAACACTTCTGGTCCCAAGCACTTCTGATAAGGGATACACAACCTGTACTGAAGACTGATGCATCTGATATTATAACTAACTTCCTTCACTGTTTCAAGTGGACTTTGCATTTCTTTGTCTCTCAGAATGTTAAAATGTCATCCATTTGTATCCTGTCTATCTCTTCAAGGCTTTGTCTTATGATCACACTACTGAGATCATGCTTATGATACTACATGTCTTTTGATCTATCAGTTTCACTTTCAGAAATCAATTAGACAAGTGTATAAAAGTAAGAATACAAGGATGTTTTCAGCAGTGTTTATAAAGCAAAAAAAGGTAAATGGTTTAAATCTCCATCATGGAGATTAGTAAAATATAGTAAAGATGGTCCTGACTTATGATGGTTCGACATATAATTTTTCAACTTTACAGTGGGTTTATGGGATAGTAAATACATTTTTAGCTAATGATATTTTTAACTTATGATGTGTTTATCAAGACATAACCCCTGCTGGGCACAGTGGCCTGTAATCCCAGCACTTTGGGAGGCTGAGGCAGACAGATCACCTGAGGTCAAGAGTTCAAGACCAGCCTGGCCAACATGGTGAAACCCCGTCTCTATTAAAAATACAAAAATTTGTTGGGCATGGTGGCGAGTAGCTATAATCCCAGCTACTCGCAAGGCTGAGGCAGGAGAATCGCTTGAACCTGGGAGACGGAGGTTGTAATAAGCCAAGATCGTGCCTTTGCACTCCAGCCTGGGCAACAGAGCAAGACTCCGTCTCAAAAAAAAAGACACAACCCCATCATAAGTCAAGGAATATCTGTGTATCCATACATTAAAAATGTGTTATAGGCCGGGCACAGTGGCTCATGCCTGTAATCCCAGCACTTTGGGAGGCCAAGCCGGGTGGATCATCTGAGGTCAGGAGTTCAAGACCAGCCTGGTCAATATGGTGAAACCCCATCTCCACTAAAAATACAAAAATCAGCCAATGTGGTGGCACACGCCTGTAATCCCAGCTACTTGGGAGGCTGAGGCAGAAGAATCGCTTGAACCTGGGAGGCAGAGGTTGCAGTGAGCCGAGATGATGCCACTGCATTCCAGCCTGGGCGACAGAGCAAGACTCCATCTCAGAAAAAACAAAAATGTGTTGTAGGCTGAGCACGGTGGCTCATGGCTATAATCCCAGCACTTTGGGAGGCTGAAGCAGGAGGATTGCTTGAAGCCAGGAATTTGAGACCAGCCTGGGTAACAAAGCTACACCCCATCTCTACAAAAAAGTGTTTAAAACATTAGCCCAGTGAGATGGTGCACACCTGTAGTCCCAGCTTCTCAGGAGGCTGAGGCAGGAGGATCGCTTAAGCCTGGAAGTTCTAGGCTACACTGAGCTATGAGCACATCACTGCCCTGCAGCCTGGGAGACAGAGCAAGACCCCATCTCAAAAACATAAAATAAATATGTGTTGTGTATATATTTTTTTTAATGTTTAAAGGATATGAATATATTAAATGGGAAAAGCAAAACAGAAAGTATATTAGCCTGTTTTGTTAGTGAAAGAATGTGTGTATTTTGTTCATGTGTGTGCATGTGCATGTATAGAGAAAGAGTGCTGTTTTAATATATGCTGTTAAAGCTCTGAGAGGTAAGCATTCTGTTTGTTACAGGATTAATACCCCTCGAAGACAAGGAGGACTTGGGCCAATAAGGATTCCACTTCTTTCAGATTTGACCCATCAGATCTCAAAGGACTATGGTGTATACCTAGAGGACTCAGGCCACACTCTTAGGTACCTTTCAGTGGTTTTACATTATGACAAATCCAAGCATGTTTATAATCCTTGAAATAGATGTTATTTATGAAATAGAAGAACAAATTTTGATCAAGAAATATTATTTTGAGACCAGGCACGGTAGCTCAGGCCTGTAATCCTGGCACTTTGGGAGGCCATGGTGGGCAGATTACTTGAGGTCAGGAGTTTGAGACCAGCCTGGCCAACATGATGAAACCCTGTCTCTACCAAAAAATACAAAAGTTACCCGGGCATGGTGGCGTGTGCCTATAGTCCCAGCTACTTGGCAGGTTGAGGTGGGAGAATTGCTTGAACCTGGGAGGCGGAGGTTTCAGTAAGCCCAGAGTGACAAAAATAATAATAATAATAAATAATTGGCCGGGCATGGTGGCTCACGCCTGTAATCCCAGCACTTTGGGAGACCAAGGCGGGCAGATCATGAGGTCAAGATATCGAGACCTTCCTGGCCAACCAACATGGTAAAACCCCATCTCTACTAAAAAATACAAAAATTAGCTGGGTGTAGTGGCACATGCCTGTAGTCCCAGCTACTCGGGAGGCTGAGGCAGGAGAATCGCTTGAACCCAGGAGGCAGAGGTTGCGGTGAGCCGAGATCGCACCACTGCACTCCAGCCCAGGTGACAGAGCAAGACTCTGTCTCAAAAAAAAAAAAAAAAAAACAGAAAGAAATATTACTTTGTTCTATTAGTCTTTAAAATAAACTACTAAACTTAAACTATGTTACTTTATATTAGCCCTGATTAAACTATGTTAGCATCATAGACTTTTAGAACTGGAAGATTATTTAGAGATCTTTCACCAACTCTGTCATCTTACAAATAAAAGAGACAGATTCATAGATTTCCGTGATCTTAGCCAAAGTTATATAATTATTTAATTGCAGAGCCCAGACTTAAATCCAGGTCCCCCAACTCCTTGTCCATTTCTTTTTCCTTTTTACCAAACTGACTCCAGTAGTGTTTTTTTCTAAATACAAGTGTCATACTACTTAGCAAACCTGTGTCTTTGGAGTAGGAAAAATTAAGGAAATATTTTACCCAGATACTCTCACTGGGTTACTTGAGCTAACAAACATTAATAGAATTCTTTGAAAAGGGGGCAATTTTAGCGTGTTGTAATTTGGTTGTATTGCTGATTTGCTTTGTATTGCCAATAGTTTTTCTTATATGTTTTATGTGAAAGTGTCAGTATTTTATAATCCTGTGTTTTTTATAACAACTTTATTGGAATATAGTTCACATATAATACAATACCCATTTAAAGAACACAATTCAGCTGGGCATGGTGGTTCATGCCTGTAACCCCAGCACTTTGAGAGACCTAGGTGGGAGGATCCCTTGAGCCCAGGAGTTTGAGACTAGCCTGGGCAACATAACCAGACCCTTGTCTTCTACAAAAAAAATAAATAATTTTTTTTTGTTAAATTAGCCTGTTGTGGTGTCACATTCCTGCAGTCCCCCTACTCAAGAGGCTGAGATAAGAGGATCGCTAGAGCCTGGGAGTTCAAGGTTGCAATGATCTATGATCACACCACTGCACTCTAGCCTGGGTAACAAGAGTGAGACCCTGTCTCTAAAAAAATTAAAAATAAAGCATACATTTCAGTGGTTTTTGTGTATTTACAGAGTTGTGCAACCATCACCACAATTTTAGAATGTTTTCATACTCCAAAAAACCCCATACCCATTAGCAATCACTCCCTGTTTCCCCTAACCCACTTCCCCTGGCTTTAGGCAACCACAAATCTACTATATGTCACTATAGTTGCCTATTCTGGGCATTTCATATAAATGGAATCCTACAATATGTGCTTTTATGACTAGCCTCTTTTCATGCATAGTGTTCTCAAGGTTCATTGTATTGTATCATGTATTGCTACCAGCAATTTCCCCTCTTTTGTACTTGCTAAGTCTTTAATGTTTTCTGCTTTCATAAAGTCTGTTACTAAGTTAATTTCCAAGAGTAAATATGCCCCAAAAAAGACTGAGGCAGTTTTAAAATGTAGAATCATTTGAGCATTAACCAAGTAAAATTATCTAATGTTAGCTATATTATTTGATTTGAGCCATTAGTTTCTTTTTAAAATTTTTTTTTAAGGCCAGGCACGGTGGCTCACGCCTGTAATCCCAGCACTTTGGGAAGCCAAGGCAGGTAGATTGCTTGAGTCCAGCAGTTTGAGACTAGCCTGGGCAATATGATGAAACCCTGTTTCTACAAAAAATACAAAAATTAGCCGGGTGTGGTGGCACACACCTGTAGTCCCAGCTACTCAGGAGGCTGTGGCAAGAGGATCACTTGAGCCCAAGAGGTTGAGGCTGCAATGAGCCGAGGTCATGCCACTGCACTTCAGCCTGGGCAACAGAGTGAGATCCCGTTTGAAAACAAATTTTAAAATTATTTTTTATTTTCAAAATAATACATGCACATATGTGTATAGTTTTTAAAAGCCAGATTATCTTCAACAATTGTAAATACTATGGTACATTTCTTAGCCAAAAACAAATTTTTAAAGCTGCAGTTTTACAGTGGTAATTCCAAATTATACATTAGATTGAGGGAGGGATATGCGCACACGTGTGTGTGTGTGTGTGTGTGTGTGTGTGTGTGTGTACCATTGGAGTAGGTAGGTAGTGTGGTGTTTGTTCTGTATAGCATCCTTCTGCGTGGATGGTGTAGGAATTCACAATACATAGAAGAAATGGCCTCACCTCTACCATTCTTCTCTTACAGAGGTCTCTTCATTATTGATGACAAAGGAATCCTAAGACAAATTACTCTGAATGATCTTCCTGTGGGTAGATCAGTGGATGAGACACTACGTTTGGTTCAAGCATTCCAGTACACTGACAAACATGGAGAAGGTACCTTTCCTTTCTAACCTTTTGATTTTTTAGTTTGAAAGATAACATAATTCGTTTGGTTTCTCATCATAAAAGTAATTTGGATATTTCCACAGTTTTCTGATTATTTACAAATTATTAGCAGATCTTTTTAACAGACCAAATTATAATTTAAAGTGCTTTAACAAAATATCAGGCCAGGCATGGTGGCTTATGCCTGAAATCCCAGCATTTTGGGAGGCCAAGGTGGGAAGATTGCTTGAGCTCAGGAATTCGAGACCAGTCTGGGCAACCCAGTGAAACCTCACCTCTACTAAAAATCAAATATATATGTGTATATGTGTGTGTGTGTGTGTGTGTGTGTGTATAAAACTAACGTATTCTGCTTACTAAATAAGATGCAAAAATATTCACTATTTGCATAGTCCTTTTTGATAAAACTCAAAGAGAAAAGTTTCTGCTACTGCAATTTTTAAAATTATGTTTCTGCAAGCTTAGAATGTGTCAATCTGGCAATATTTAGTGATGTAGTTTTCATTTGCCTGTTTGTATTACTGAATTTAGCCTTTAAATAATCCTTGATCACTTTTCTGCCTTTCAGCTAAGATGAAGTATAATAATGTAATCTCTGGGCTTATTCAGTATCACATTTGTAATCTACAAGTTCATCATTTTGCTAAAATAGAACACATATATTCCTTTTAAAAATGTCACTGAGTCACTGAGTCAGGATGCATTCTAAAGTCTCTTTTGACAAATAGTGAATCATGTCATCAGTACAAAGTACCGCAGGAAACATGGCAAACAAGCTAACTGGAAGTTTATGTAAATTTGGAGGAATTTTTGCCATGCCTAGGCCTTCCAGCTCACCAGATTCCCAAACTTTCCAACTGTATTAGAGGGGCAATCAACTCGATTTCTTATATTTTTAATGTAACTAAACACAATTGCTAAAAATGAAAATGGATTAGCTGCCTGCTGATAAGCTCCATGACTAAAATTCCTTGGTGTGAACAGGAGGCTAATAGAAGTCATGTGCTTGGTGGTCTGGAAATGTTCTTATTAGTATATTCTGTTAACTTCAGTCTCATGTAGAAACAGAAAAAGTCAGTTGCTGGAGGTAACTGAATTCTGTTTTTAAAATGTCTTCTGCCTCTTTTTGTTTCTTTTAGTCTGCCCTGCTGGCTGGAAACCTGGTAGTGAAACTGTAAGTATATATATATTTTTTATGTTGAGTTGATGGTTAGAGTCAAAAAAAAAAAAACAAAAAAAAAACATGCTAACCTTAGAATAATCTTTCCTTGTTACTAGAACTGTCTTGATTTTGTAAATGAAGTAAACATTGCTAAGCAGAAATCAGAGTACAGACATTCTTTGGCCTGTAGGAAGAGTAGCTGAAACTGGAGAAAGCAGAATATGGGGCGTGATGCTGTGAACTTTAAAGCCAAGTATACAGATAAATACACCATTCCAAAAAAAAAGGGCAGAGGGGAGACTTGGTAGAATAATTCAGAAGTCTTATAGGTCATGTATCAAATTTCTTCCTGTATTCTGGACAAAGAAAACAGTCACAAACAAAACCTTTCTATGCATAGTAAGAAGTTTTGAGAAAATCTAGCTCAATTAATACTGAAGATAATGATTCTCTCCTTGTCATGAAGAAAGAAGAGATTGAAACACATATATTCTTTCATTTAGGAGGCTGTAAAAAAA